CGTTGCTGGTTCTTTATTCGAAGACGGGCTAGCTGTCGTACTTCTTCTGCTCGTTGGGTGACCAGCTGGGCGTCGTCGGTGCCGTCGTCCGTTGGATCGTGGGGCAGCATGGCGTCGAGCATCGTCGTCACCTTTCTGCCGTGCACCAGCTGAAAGGGTGTGACGCCGGTAGTTTCTTGAATCGCCGTGTTGTACGCAAACGTGACGTAGGGCAGCACTTCATCCCACGTCTTGTGTTCCACGTCCACGTACATAGAAATCATGTCGGCGATGGTCTTGTTTAGTCGCTCCGTCAGCCCGTTGGTCTGCGGGTGGTATGCCGTGGTCCGGCGGTCGTCGGTGTGGCTCAGGCGGAGTATCTCTTGTGTCAGTTGCGCCATGAACGAGGATCCTCGGTCCGTAATCAGGACTTGGGGAGCGCCGTGTCGGAGGACGATAGACTCCACGAAGAATTTGGCTACTTCCACGGCGGTCCCCGACGGGAGTGCTTTTGTCTCGGCGTACCTGGTGACATAATCAGTTGCCACGATTATCTACCGGTTTCCCTGCGCCGACGGTGAGAAAGGTCCGAGAAGATCCATTCCAACCTGCTGGAATGGTGCAATCGGGGGCGCGATCGGTTGCAGGAGACCTGCCGGCTTCGTCGGTGGTTTCTTGCGTCGTCGGCATTCGTGGCACGAACGGACGTAGAGGTGGACAGTCTTCGGAAGCTTGGGCCAGTAGTATTTTTCTCGGATCCGTGCAAGGGTCCTACTGTAGCCAAGGTGACCAGATGTTGGGTCGTCGTGGCAGGCTTGGAAGATCTCTTCTCGAAGACTGGCAGGAATCACCAACAGCCACGTCGAGTTGTTGTCCCTGAAGTTTTCTTTATAGAGGATACCTCTCCGGACGGTGAATCTTGGCAGGTCACGTGAGAAGGCTCGGGGAATCGTACCCCCTCGTCCCTCCAAGTGGTCGATCAATGCACGCAACTCAGGATCGTCCCGCTGGAGCGCTGCCATGCCGTGAATGCTCACCGCACCAAGAAAGTGGTCGTCGTCGTCGTCGTCGTCTTTGGCACATCCGGTAGCTGACTCGACAGGGGCTCTGGACAGGGAGTCGGCGTCGCTGTGTTTTCGGCCTGACTTGTAGACCACGGTTACGTCGTACTCATGCAGTCGTAGGCTCCATCGAGCGAGGCGTCCCGATGGGTCCTTCAGGCTCGCTAACCAACACAGCGAATGGTGGTCGGTGACCACCCGAAAAGGAGTTCCGTACAGGTATGGGCGGAATTTCGTGATGGCCCAGACGACGGCCAGACATTCCTTCTCGGTCGTTGAGTAATTGCGTTCCGCGTTCGACAGCGTCCGGCTAGCGTATGCGATCACGCGCTCCGCACCGTCTTGTCGTTGGACCAGTACCGCTCCGAGTCCTGTATTACTGGCGTCCGTGTGGACCTCCGTTTCGGCTGATTGGTCGAAGTGGCCGAGAATCGGTGGTGACTGGAGCCGTTGCTTTAGTTCGTCGAGTGCCTGTTGTTGTTCTGCACCCCATTCGAAGTTCACGGCGTCTTTCGTAAGGCGCGTTAGCGGCGCAGAAAGCTTGGCGAAATCCTGAACGAATCGCCGGTAGTATGCGTAAAGTCCAACGAATCTTCGGACGGCCTTTTTGTCGGTGGGCGGTGGAAAGGCCGCTACGGCGCGAGTTTTCTCAGCGTCAGGACTTACACCTTCGTTGCTCACAACGTGGCCCAAGAACTTCAGTTCGCCGTAGGCAAACCGGCACTTCGTCGGCTTGAGTGTGAGTCCAGCGGTCCTGATTGCCTCTAAAACGGCCCGAAGGCGTCGCAAATGCTCGTCGAAGTTGGCCGAGAATACCACGACGTCGTCGAGGTAAACGAGACAGCTCTGCCACTTGAGGCCTGCCAGGATGGTGTCCATGACACGTTGGAACGTTGCCGGCGCCGTGCACAGTCCGAAGGGCATCACCTTGAACTCAAACAGTCCGTCGGGCGTGACGAAGGCAGTCTTTTCTCGGTCCCGTTTGTCGACTTCGATCTGCCAGTAGCCACTCTTAAGGTCCATCGACGAAAAGTAACGGGAGTGGCGCAACCGGTCCAGCGCGTCGTCGATGCGGGGGAGCGGATGCACGTCTTTCTTGGCGACCGCGTTGAGCCGCCGGTAGTCAACGCAGAATCGAAGCGTTCCGTCTTCCTTCTTTACAAGCACGACTGGGAAGGCCCACGGGCTGCTCGAAGGCTGAATGATGTCGTCGTTGAGCATCTCCTGTACCTGTTCATGAATGGCCTCTCGTTCCTTTGGGAAGACCCGGTACGGCGGCCGATGCACAGGGAGCGCGTCCTCGTTGGTAATAATGCGGTGTTTCGCAACTGTTGTCTGGCGCACCCTCGACGTCGTCGCAAAGCAGTCGTCGAATTCGGCGAGGAGATCTCCGAGCTCTCGTCGTTCCGTGGCGCTGAGCTTGGGGTTAACGTCGAGCTGTGGCGGCACTGTACTGGACGGCTGACATGGCGAGGATTCGTCGGAGATCGCGGCGATTTTGGCGTCGGCCCGGAGTTCCTCGACGTGTCCTATAGTGGCACCTTTCGTGAGATGCTGCGCCTCCGGTTGAAAGTTCGTCACGAGGACCACACAACGTCCATCCTGCAGCTCTGCTACGCCCCTTGCAACGCCTATTCCTCTTCCGAGAAGCAGTTGGACGTTGCCTTCCAGAAGGACTTTCCCGCTGGCAACTGCGTCGGTAACGACGGGCACAAGAACACTCAACCGTGGCGGCAGGTTCACGTGGTCCGCAATGACTCGGACGGCGGCTGGCGACGTTTTGGATCCCTCCGGAGGTAGCACGGGCTTTCGCAGCGTCAACCTGTTTGCTCCAAGGTCGATAACCGCACCGCACTCACAGAGGAAGTCCATGCCAAGGATGACGTCTCTCGAACCGTCTTTGAGGACGACGCATTTCACCGCGCAGGTCTCTCCGTGGTGGTCCACGCGCGCAGTACACCTTCCCACTGGTGTGATGAGATGTCCACCGGCGGTTCGTATTTTCGGGCCTTCCAACGGCATCATCACCTTCCGAAGGCGGCAAGAGAGCTTCCCACTTAAAACCGAATAGTCTGCTCCGGTGTCGACGAGAGACTTCGCGTCGTGGCCGTCGATGGTACACTGTAAAAAATAACTGTGTAAAAAAACAGAAAAAGCTTGGCAAGTTTCTTGCCACGAATTTTCTGTTTTCGTCTGTTTCCCTGTTTTCATACTTTCCGTTAAAATCATAGCATTTCCTGTTCTTGGCTTTTCTGTAAAAAAAATAGACTTTCTGTTCTCAAATTTTGCGAAAAACCGGTTTCTGTTAAAACAAAGAGTGTCTGTTCTGGAACTTTGTAAAAATATCGGCTTTCTGTAGTCGATTACTTTGAAAACACCGGCCTTTGTTAAAAGAAGGATTGTCTGTTTTGGAACTTTGTAAAAAAATCGACACTCTGTTGTCCCAATTTTGCGGGAAAATGATTTCTGTTAAAAGAATGGTTGTCTGTTCTGGGACTCTGTAAAAAGATCGACTTTCTATTTTTAAATGTTGTTTAAAAACAGTTTTTTTCGAAAAGTAAACAGAGTTTCTGTTCTGGGACTCTGTAAAAAGATCGACTTTCTATTTTTGAATATCGTGAAAAAAAGTTTAATTTGGAAAAGGGAACAGAGTTTCTGTTCTACACCTTTGTAAAAAGACAACTTAAAAAGATTTTTAACAAGAAAGTTATTTTTCATTAAAACATGTAACAGAGTTTACGTAATAAAAATAACTGTCCCACAGCATCGAGAAAAAATATGTTAAGCCCGAGTCCTACTAGAGCGACATAAGCAACAGCCGACACAGAGAAAACACGACTGCATGCAGCATCAATGCAAAGCGAAGTTTGGCATGCTTGCAATCAGTCATGCCTCGTTCACGGAGCACACTGAGCTCGGGAACGAAGCTCGAGTGATTCAAGCCTGCCAAAGATAACACCTGTGTGAATGCTGGAGGTTTCTCAGAGCCGGCTGTTGCTGTCTGTCGCCTTTGCGGGACCAGTACACAAAGAAACATGTACAACAGAAAGTGAGAGGGTAATGTCAAATTTTCTTGTAAGGTAGCGCATATACTTACTCGCTACCGATTATCGACATATTCTTAAACATTTACACTTGTTTTAACAATGCCTCCATTATTATTCAGTCTTTCTCCATTGCTGAGTAAGGCGCTGAATTCCAGTCCTCTAAAAGTCCTTGCTTCGACTTGGCAGATTGGCATGCAGTTCCAGATCATCAACATCCAGAAAGTGGCATCTTCCGAGTGCATTTGTTAACTACCTTTTGTTTCGCCTAGACTAGGACTACATTTCTCGGAAGACAAGCCGACACTGCACACGAGTCTCGAAGTAGGAGTAACGACCTCTACAGGGGCGGAATTGAGTTTTACTTTGCAATGTGAATGTGAAGAGTTTGAATAGTTATTGATACATTACTAACTGCCTGTGAGAAACATGGCAATAATTTATTTGATGAATAAATACGCTATATTTTGCGACAAAGCATTTTGAGGCCTTATAGTTTTATACCTGCCCTTATACATTGTTACCGCACCCTGCATACAGAATACGGCAATAGTTACTGTATTCTGTAGACGTGTGAAAGAAACATGTCTTCAAATTGGGCTCATCAACCAGCATTTTGCAAGCTTCAAAAGCTCGCAGGCTTGCAGCTTTTTAGAGGGTTATTTTTAATTAGCCGAAATTCAAATTAAGTATAATGTTTCTGAGATCAACTTGAGAACTCTTTTTTTTTTTTTTTTCTGTGGCACAGAAATGTCAGTGAGATCAAATATTCCAGATGAATTGAAATAAACCACTGATTATTTTGGGAACACGCCATATTTACACCTTCCCTACCTTCCTGGACTTATTAACGCCGGGATGTTCGCGATGAAAGAAGTCGTAAACTTGTTAAAGAAAGAAAACATGAGATATTGTAATATTTGTAAATAACCACTTTATTTCTTGCATTCGCCACGCTTTGGCTCTGAACAGATGGCTTGTCTTCAACAGACTATTAGAAACTGCAGTTTTATTTCTTAACTTTGGCCCGCTTGGGGCTCAGACTAAATGGAATTTATTGAACATACCTACTTCGACTCTTAACTCTGCCCTCTTGGGCTCTTAACGATACACTTCCTGAGTATATACCTGGTATTCTTTTTATGGACAAAAATATTGAAGAGAACTTGCACCAGGGAAATCTTGATAGTGCCATTAGTTTGCTTGACTTGGCGGCCACTAGGAACAACAGATGTTTTAATTAACCTTTTCGTTAAAAAAATAAGCGTATAGTTACAATTAGAAACTTGATAAGCATCGTGAGAAACCACTAAATCATTCATATTTAGAGACTAGGAGCACATGTATTGTTTCTCTGGCCTGCAAATCTGTCGTGACCTCCAAGTTTTTCCGTCTCATCATCCACATTTTCGCTTTGCCAGGCTTGCGCCTGTATGAAAAGTGGTACCTTTTGTGAAATATCACACTTCGTACGTGCCCCCAATCCTTCTAAAATTAACAGATTTAGTGATTTCCGATTATGCCCAGCAAGTCTCTAAAACTGGTTAATATCATTGTATGCAAAACTATTTTAAAACTTAATTATCCTAAGCACTACATGCCTTATTAAATGGTTCTCTTGACTATGACCAATGGGGTGCCCACCCTATTTCTGTGAGGTGCATAGATTTTACATTAAATGAATGTGAAAACAATGCACGTTCTCCCAGCATTTCTAATGAACAGGTTTAGTGGCTTTCGACTATGGCCAGCAAGTTTCTAATTGCAAGAATATGGCTCCGTTTACTAATTAGAAGTTAATTTAAAATATATGTTAATTAGCCACCTACTTCCACAAACAACTTTGTAGTGCCCGCTAAGTAGAGTAAGCTGATTGCAAAATGAAGTTACCTAATGAAACTTATTGTTTTGAAAACTTGGGGCAGCTAAAACCAAACACCCAGTGTAGTGATGAAAATAATTCCTGGAGAAGGGGAACAAGGACAAAGGACAAACACAAATCCCCAAACACAGCTAGGTGACTGGTGAGCAACCGAAAAAATCCGCCTGGTCCTGGTATCGAACCCGGGACCTCTCCATTACAGGTGGAGCGCTCTACCAACTGAGCTAACCAGGGCTTAGACGTCAATAGAGCAAACGGGTTTTATCAGCTGCCACCAGTCTAACACCAACGAGGGTGAAGCTTGCAATTTAAGGTTATAATTATAATGCAATTACATGCAAGGGTGCAAGCGAGCTGCACAAGAATGATGAAAATAATCCCTGGAGAAGGGAAACAAGGACAAAGGACAAACACAAACCCGTTTGCTCTACTGACGTCTAACCCTTGGTTAGCTCAGTTGGTAGAGCGCTCCACCTGTAAGGGAGAGGTCCCGGGTTCGATACCAGGACCAGGCGGATCTTTTCGGTCGCTCACCAGTCACCTAACTGTGTTTGGGGATTTCTGTTTGTCCTTCTTGTTCCTCTTCTCCAGGAATTATTTTCATCATTCTTGTCCAGCTCGCTTGCACCCTTGCATTATAATTAAACCCAGTGTAGGGTGGCCTAAATAGTGGTAGGCTGTAAATTGGTACCTAAAAATTAGCTTCTGCACACAGCTATATCAAATTTTACCCAAACATGTATTTTAATGGCACTAGTTATCTTGCAAACGTGCATCTCTATGGTGGGCAACGACACAGACAACCAAGTCGCATCGCCAGTTGACCGCTCGATTCGACCCGCGCCCGTTTTGAAATGAGTCTTCCATTTTATGTGAAATGCGAGTACTCATTTCGCATCGGGCTCTAGCCGCTCACTGCGACTCGGTCGCCTGCATTGGTGCCCGCCATAGAGGCTACAAGGATTCTTGTCCTTATTGCTCACAGAAATGGATCTATGCTTTAGAAGTTCACAAGGTAATGTGCACCACTAGAGTACACGTGTGGTGAAAATTCAGAAGCCAATTTATCCGGTACAATTGACAGCGTACCGCTCTATTTATGCCACCTTTTTATTCCTTCCCTTTGCCTTGCTTGGGCTTAAAGATGACATTTCCAGAACATACCTTTTATTTAAATCAGGAAGGCTTTAAGACTGTTTCAGCTTAAAAGGCATATTCCTCCAGGGAAGCCATCAGCTTGGCAACCGCGGGTGACACACAGTGTTGCTTCTTCTTCTTTTTGAGAATCTTGGTGCCCCTCGGTGGGTTGATGCTTGCAATACCCCTGAAATCAAACAAACATATCTTTTTACTATAGCATTGTTCCCCATGAAACATGTATTATTTAAACACACAGGGAGGTTATGGAATGCTGGCCAAAACTTTCCTACAAAAACTATGCGTTAGATAGGAAAAATATGGATGCGATGTTGGTGAGTGCCAACGACCGATTTGGCAGATGTCCATCATATGGATAATGATACATTCATTTCCAATAAGGACACCAAAGTGTTGTGAACCAGATATCTGGGTTGCCGCCATGTTCAAGATGTTTGAACCGCCGGCGGGAATTACGCGCACCGCCACATATTAATAAGTAATGATTTTAGGGAAAAGTGCGCCTGGTCGCTTAATAAGGTACACAGGGTGTTACAGTTGTCTGGAACCAAGCTTAAAAAAAAGCGGAGCATTACAGGCGAATGGAACCAACTGCATTTCTTAGCACACGTCTTGCCAGGGCCAATATCTTTTTTTATTGTGCCTTATTAAATAATTACGACTAATAACCTTGTTCTGTAAATATTTAAAGGAAATTAAAGGTGTCGATTCGAATGTTGTAGAGAGCCTGAATAAACACCCAATGGAGGAGTTTGCAATGTGGTGCACCTTGAGTGCTTCTTTTATCCAACCCTAAAAAAAAACGCCCGCTCGCAGCGCACGCGTGCGCTGCGATTAGGGGAGTGCAATGTCATGTGGTATTCTTTGCATTTTGTGGGCGTTTTTTGAAGGCTGGAGAAAAGAACCAGGCAAAGTGTAATATGGTGCAAGCACCTCCATCGAGTGCTCTTTAAAGCTCTCTACAAGCTCCCAATTGACACTTTGGCCCTTAAATCAATATGTAATCAATTAGTTTCAATGAATTAGTTTCATCAGGCTCAACAAAACAATACTCTCTTTTGCAAGATGCCTGCTAACAAATACAGTTCGTTTCAATCGCTTAGAGTGATCCCTTTTTGTTTAAAGCTTGCTTGAGAATTAAAACAGTGTAAACGTAAATGAGAACAGAACCCTACTCCCGGACTTGCTGAACAATAAATTGTTCAATGCGTGCCAAGGAATAAGACATTTTGTTTAAGAAAAGGAATTTCTCTAAAATAGCCTTAACAAAAATGCTGGCTAGAGAAGCATGGTAACTGTGTTAATCAGCCATGTTTACATTTCAATGAACACTTGTGTTACTTTTATTCGGGAGTTTTTGTTCCAGGTGTTTGTCTACACAACTATTTCATGTTTCACGTATATCAGTAGAAACAAATGGTAACCTCTGCCAGTCGATCGACTTATTGAGCCTTCAAAGAGGTAGTTTTGTCGGGCACTTTAGCACCACTTGGAGTGTTCTATCCTGTTTCGCTAGTTTCAGTCAACTAGCTTGTTTCATATTTTACAGATGTGCAATCTAAAAGTGCACGTCTGTTCTTCCATCCTCCTTTAGTCGTTTAAATGTATATTAGTTGTCATTCTCTAGAAAATAAACTCAGCTGCTGTGGAGACTTCATACTGTAACCTTTGTTTCTCGCCATCCTAGCATCACAGTGTAAACTTGAATGTGGACAGTGAGAGCATGGGGTCTTGTGAAGCTGAAGTGCTGATGGTGACACTGGCACTGACTTTAAAATATTTTACTATTACCTTGGACGTGCAAGTTTTCTTTGGCACGTTTCTCAGGAATATTTAATGACAGCATAGAGCACAGAGGCACAAAATATATAGCTTCTCTGGTGGAGTGCTTAATATTGAGAATGAAAACAATATAGTGTCCACGATATTCCTTGCCATCTGAAAACAATAACTCTTGCACGAGGTGTGCAGTAATTACGGATCAGGGCTTAACACAAAAGAGAGCACGCTGCTATCGATACATTTACAGGAGGTGGAAGCCATGCATTTTCTGGGCATATAAACGGTCTCCCTTTCACCATGTGCAGCTGAAATGCCCTTCATTCCAATTGATGAAGTCGTGTGCAAATGAGACTAGACTGCACCCACTGATGAGTGTAATGAGATCGGTTTGTGTATGTGTGCGTGCGCATGCGTGTGTGCGCATGCGCATGTTTGCATGTGTGCGCGTGCGTGTGTGTGTTTGTGCGTGAGGAGGGAAGGTGGTCGCCGGACCACATTGCAGTATTTTAGGGCTCCCGGGACTGGAAAATTGCTTACTTATGGTTTACACTATGCTATTTTCGAGCCAACTAGCCCAAGATAAAAAATGACATAGTTCATCTTTTTTGTTTTCAACAACAGCAATCATTTCTCCCACGACATGTATGGGGTTAGACTTTCATCACAAAATGATTAACATCACTCATAAAACTGTCTTAAAAACTGACCTCATTTGTGCAAAAAAAAGTTTCCTTTATGCACTATATCGTTGTGAATATGCCATTCAGCTTTGTGGCCCCTGAGAAGTAATTTCTGTAGTTAGAATGATCCAAATGAAACAATGAAAACCTTAGCTTGAGGTCTTGGCATGCAAAATCAAAGCATTGTAAGAAATCAGCAGGCACTGGGGTTCTTCCAATGGAAGCTATGTTTTGTGTAAAGGATACATCTTTGATATGACAAGCAGATCAAATTTAACAATAAAAGCAGGGGTGATGAAGCACTTACCTTTGAATAAATTCAAGTGTAAGGCCCACTTCTTCTGGGAACGAAATGTTCAACACAAAATAGAGCAGGAACATCAACTTGAATGAGCCTGCCCTGTTGCTTGTGGTCATCACCGGCACTGTGTCAACACAAATTGTGAACTCGCTTGCTGTGTAGTTGTTGGCTCCTATAAATAACAATTGATGCAGTATGAGAACAGAACTCGTCCACCTTCATGCTTCGGGCCAGAATTTGAAAGCACATACTGACCTTTAACACATATGATCGGGCTTGGGTCCATATCACCCAGATCCGAGTCAGTGGCATTCTCCTGAAAGACAAAGAGTAAACAAAAATGAGGATAGACGACCTAATGTCCTTTTAGTATGACCCGTGCTATGTCTAAGCACTTGGGTCTAATTTGCTTTTGCCACATTTAGAGGGCAAGCTACTTGAATGTTTTCAAGAATTCTACATAAACAAACAATTTTGAACAATTCAAAGGTACTGCCTGACCTCTGTATAATTTGTTTAGAAAACAGAGTATGCCTTAATGATGTATGCGGTTCAATATTGATAAATTAAAAGCAGAACTAGAGTCCCTATGGACAATGTTGCTGAATTGTTGTCGTCTCTTCGATGATATTGCCACAAGATGCTAACACAATCTCATAAGTCGACAGATGCACTAGCGGAGCACGAAGATCGCCAGTTGCTTTCATAAAAAAAAAAAAAAAAAACAGATACACTCAAAGGTGTTCTCATTTGCAAAAACCACAGATAATGCGCCAAGCTCAGAAAATGTTGGGTTCAATCTGGGCTATCCCAAAGCGATGATTCCAAGTGAAAAAAAATACCAAAACAAAAATGCACCATTGATGTGGCATATTGTGACATGATGTAAGCTATATATATACTCGATATCGCTGCACTTTTCATCATCTGCTAAATTACCAGGTTATGCAGGCTTCGCTCATGGGGAAGTCTGGCGGGCAAAGTTCAATTACAGATAAGCCAAATTGCATTGCTAAAATGCTAAAATTTATTTAATTTTTTTAATAGCAAAAATTTGACACGTTTATTTTCAACACTTTTTGTTCCATGGCATCAATTCCACAATTTACACGTTTTTGCCCAGACTCCTATGCTCCTAGTTCAGCACCTGCGCCTACAGTAGTCCCAATCTCTAATATTGGCAGCCATTCGAACCATCAGGCTAGAGGACAAATATATTCTTTTTTGGTTGGTTGATTTCGATGATAAGATGAATTGAAGCAATTAAAGAGGCCATTTTTTTCGCAGTGAGAATATTAGGCACAGTACAGAATCCAATAATTTCAGATGACTAAAAAGGTTGGCATTCACATACGAACAAAGCGATCGCTTTCTTGTTTCATGTTATCACCAGAGTGCAAAGTCTCGTATAAAAGAAACTCGAATATCGGAGCAACATGTAGCTTACCCCCATCATTGTGCAGCGACGGTTGTCAGCGAAAACTATCATGTGCTTCGAGAATTGTGATGATGACAAATGGCCGGTGCTTTCAGAAAATAATTCGAGCTGCGATTTTGATTCAGTTTTCCACCACATTCGGCGCCGAAGCGCAGCCTTTAAATTCCGTTTCATTTAAATTGCATGAACGTGCATATTATCATTATCTAGAGATATCTAGACGCTGACTGCTGTTGCGTCTTAGTGAGAGAAAAAAACAAATGAAAGCTTCGTTAGAAATAACACAAAAATGTAAAAAGCTTATGAGTTTACGTAGCATCCAACGCTTCTGCTGTTTTCTAACCGAAGATTAAGCAAAAACAATTCATCATTGCACCCCCATCCCCAAAAGAGCTACGAGAGAGCAAAAAAGAATTGGAGAACGGCATTTTGCTTTTATTTTTTATATGCTCACAAACCTAGCAATAAGAACAGTCAGGTCACAATATCGATGTGAAGGTAATCTCATGTGCATTCAGTACGTCTCGTCTCAGGGCATTCAAACCTAGGCGAAGGCATATTGTTTAGGACAGAACGTGGTGAAAAACTAAACCAAAGGCCACTTGGCATTATTACCCTCGAAATGCGTAAGACCTTCCGCTGACGACCGTTCAGTGGCGCGACGGGTGCAAAAGGCTGTTGGTTCGTTGTTTGCACATCTTTCGTTCCAGACCGCGCTGTCATCCTCGATATGAGGGTGAATTAACATGCAGCTGTCGACCAATCGGCACTGCAAGCTCAGGCTAGCAGCGCCTTCACACCTAACGGAGAGAGTAAGCCCTGGCACGAAAAGAACTGACACGTTGTTGCTATATGTTGTTTTTGTGCAAGGTAGTGAATTCGATAAATGACGCACCGTCTCAAGCGGATGTAGTGAGGATTAGTGCAAGAAAACGCAGATGCCTAAAGCACCGTTTAGCGCCATTTCTTTTTGTGTTCCGAAAAAGCACAACAAAGCCTCTTCTTTATCTTATTCATGAAATGTTAAACTCGAATTACAGATGACATAATTGAAAATCATTTTTAACTCAGTAAGAGTGACTTCGATTTGTTTTTTATCTTTAATGTCTTTGTAACTGTGCTCTTTGTTTTATGAGTTGCGTGGTGTGCATACTACTAAGGCCTAGAGCTGTTTGTGGCGCACAGTAAACAGATTGAATAAAAAAAATAGTGTATCACACCCATTTTTGACTAATAATACCGCCCGCGGTGCTTCTATTCCATTTTCACGTGACATCTTGATGATTTACTTCGATTTTAGATTTCTGTAGATCTACTTCGCTTAAAAAACGTAAAGCAACCGTTATACTAAAAGCATTGAATACAAAAACTTACCTCAACATTTTTGAAGATCAATTCAATGTCTTCACCGAAGATTGCCAGCAGCAGGAGCGGAGTGCTGTCATATTCGGGGGTCACATTTTTTAGAGTTTTTTTAGCATCCTCAATGTCCTTAAGGCACTTCTTCACAGCCTCGTTCTTCAGTTGACTGTAGGCGTACCTGTACAGTTGTACTCCAATTTTTTTCATGTTATCATCAAAGACTTCGCTGACGTTGAATCCGAGCAGTAGCTCTGCATGATTGAGAAAATGGTGCTCCTCAAACAGGAATGGCCAGTCCTCTTTCACCTTGCCTACCCCCTTGGAGCTGTTGATCAGTAGCCTCTGGGTTGCGTAAGTCTCACTCATGAGTTTTGTGACTAGTCTATCATCCCGAGATACCCTGCGATATTCTGTTACCAGACGTTCTCTCTTTTCATCCTGAGTGTAGGCTGTCTCTCCTGGAGGCAGCTCAGGCTTCCAGGCCACGCATCCGTAGGAGTCCCGACGGTCTGTCTTTGCGGGCTGATGAAACGCATCAGGGTCGGATGTGCTCTCTTCTGGAAGAGGTTGCGCTAGGGGCCTCTTCTTGTTATTTACACAATTCTCTAGTTTCCAGAGCAAAGTTTCAACGCCTTGTCCAATAACTGTGCCTTGCAGCATGTCTTGAAATGACAACGGATACTTAGCTACAATCTTTGAAGCAATTACCCTCAGGTGGCGCCTGCCCGGCGAGAAGCTCTCCTGGATAATTCTGTTACTCAATTGCCTCACCATTTGGTTCAGGTCAGACTTTGTTGGCCTTGCATTCTTGTAGCATGCTTCCAGAAGCCTCTGTGGAAACGAATCCCATGGAATGGAGAAGTCTTCGCTCCAATTCTCGAAACGTGAGGTGCTTGGAAGAGGAACACTCGCTGTAGGTTGTGCAGCAGGTATGGGTGCCTTGGTTGTCACACTGACTTCGCGAAACCTTTCCAAAAGGATCCTTCTATTCACTGGGTTTAGGAAGTCCAGGTCGCTCTCCTCAATGTACTTTAGATGCTCCATGGTTGTTACACCGCACTCTTCTAGCTTGGAAACAACAGTTTCCACATCTTCTGATGGGAGGCTTGGCAGCCAGCTGGCAATAAGCGATGAAAGCTCCATCTAAGAGAGACAATGTAAGGAAATCATTAAATCAAATCCAAAACTGCATGCTTCAGCACCACAATGGGGCGCTGTGCTTGGCCCAGCCGGTATGCTTCAAGAGGAACATAGTCAATTATGCTGCTTGGAGTAACACATTTCAAACTTCCAGATTCACAATCATAGAGGTTATACAACGGCATTGAAGGTTCCAAGGACGACCGGGTGACTCGTACAAGGAAGCACATCGCAGGGCCTTTTGCCAGAATTAGAATTATCTGACCAAACACCAGCCGATCATCTTCTCGTGATAAGACCAGAATCATGTCCCTCCTGTACGCAAGTCCTCGGTACTCGGCATTATAGGCGTAGTAGATATCATCATCAGATCCAAAAAAAATCCTTTATGACCTTTTGAATGTCATCACTGTATAGACTCAACTGAAGTCTTGATGCAGATGTCAAAGGATAGGCAGTTGGAAAGAGGCAACCAGATGCCTTGTATGCTTGGAGAAGCTGGTGTCGTTCAGCTAGGGTGGATGTGATATTTTTGAAGTTTTGACAATTTCTCGCGCATTTTCTGAAGTAACCGTGCTTGCTTTCACAGCGCATAGTCCAAACTCTTATTAATGGGCCAAACTGCGTGATGAGGTAAGGATAGTGCGCAAGAAAGTGGTGCTTAGGTCGTAGAGAACAAAATGGAAACAGCTCTAGTCTCCCTAGAAGATAATCCTCAATCAGGTCCTTCAGCCGCATTATCATTGGAAGCGTGATGGCTGGAGTGCAGATCAGCTGGACGATCTCTGAGAGCATCAACACCTGCTGCCACACAGGATCATCGAGATCTAGTACTTTGCCGAAAACAAACACAGGCAGGAACCTTAGCATGTTCCAGTTCTGAACTGCATGCCCGCTCAGCTTCTGCTTTAAATTCACTTCCGAGGGGCGATCATTTGCATCTCCTTGTTTGAAATTAAATAAGGAGATGCTTCTGTTTAACTCTTCCAGTGTGAACCACCTGCACTTGTGGACAAAGTATTGTACATACAATGCAATATCATAAGACACAACACCCTCAAACAAATCGTGACCTAGACAAGGTGGCAGGCCCGGTGCACACACATGGAAGTACCTCAAGCGATTAAACAATGAGTCAAATTTCACTCCTTCGTGAACAATGAGCGTGTCATCTTGACTCAAAATTGTTAGAGACCTGTCATAGTTGGACTTTTTTCTCAGCTCGAAAGTGCCAGTCAGATTGGACTCAACAAACATCTTTTTTCTCTGTTAAACAAAACCGACACATGTGCTTTGCTTTGCTAAAGTTCTCAACAAAGCCACCTATTGTGTGGCTTCCCAGATTGTCACCAAGGATCGCCACAACAGCTCCATACAGGTTCTTGCCGTCTCTCAGCTGACAGCTTCCGTTTTCAAGCCTCCGGATGTCCTCCAGCAGTGGTGCAAATACCTTTTCTTGCCCGAAAAACTCAAAGTCGGACTCTTTACATAGAAGCACAAGTTGAATTGCGTGAATGCGTGATCTGTTCCATGGGTAGAGGTTTCCGAGCAGGAAGTACACTGCAAGTATCTTGTGCTTTTTCTTTGCTGAGCCAAGGGGATTCACGACTTCAAATGCATCTTGAAACAGCAGCAACTTCACGGCATCCGACTGCTGATCAAACAAGGGAATTGACTTGTGCACTATTCCATTCACAAAGTCCCGGAGTACGCCCACTTCCGTGCTAAGTGGATTCAAACACTGACTGACAACTGACTCATCACACAGCAATGCCTTGAGAGTGTCAATTATTGGGACGTAATGAAACGTAGCATCTTGATTTTTCTTGTTCTTTCCCAACAGGATCGCTACAGGCTCTACATAACTGAACCTCTCCTTGAAGTATTCTTTACGGGCGTATGGTGACCGTAGCACACCTGAGCTGCTGTGTGCTTTGAGTATCTGGTCATTGTCAGATAAGAGGTGTAGGACTTCCTGAGATGTGCTGTCACTAATTCCAACAGAATCCAGTTTTCTTCTTAATTCTGATAACATTTGCTCCAAATTATTGTTCTGCAAGTCAAAGAACGCCTCACTGATAATTTGCACTGTGGACGATGGCACCAGATGCTCGGACAGAAGACGTAGATACAGGAGCCCAAAAGCATCAATTACTTGACTCTGATTTCTCACGAAGTCACCGTTCGATTGAGACCCCACATCACATGACGCACCAACCTCCTGATCAGGAGAATGATCGAAGTTGTCGAGAGATCTCTGTTCATCTACGTGAGCCTGTTGCATTGCAAATCGGTGACAGCGTGATATATGAGATTCAAACGATGACTTCTTCTTGTAGGTCCTAGCGCATCCAGGGAAAGGGCATGTAATCGCCTCCAGTTGCAAAATGTGACCTTTCAGATGACAGATTAGTGACTTCAAATTGCTGCAGACTTGAAGACAAGTGGCTACACTGCACGCAAGTGGAACAGCCTCGTGAAGCAGAGCAAGGGGTGCCTCAAATCTACTCCAGTATTTGTGGTCACGTGACAGGTGGCTATAGACGGAACCAATCTTCCTGAATACCCTCTTGCATCCTGAGAGGGGGCACTGAATCTGCATGTTGCTGGCATTCTTATGCAATGTAACGTGCTTCAGAAAGAGTGATAAACTGGTACAGCAGCAATGACAAATGCTGCAGGTGTACATTGCACTGAAAAAAAAATTGATTGAATTAGATAAGTACTCCGCAGTAAAGATAAACAAAAATGCAGAACCAGTCATTCAATTGATTTGTTTAGAGGTAGCTGGTCTGAATGCTAAATCGTCTCTTGTGAAACTGTTATAATGCAAAAAAAAAAAGACAAAGGGCCAAGACAAGAAAAAGGCAAACAATTCTGTCACCACCTGCAAAAGGGGCGTGTCAGTTCTGCATCATACTTACTTTGGCTTTCATTAAATTCACTGTTCTGAAAGTTGACACAACTGCTAAATCTGGGCATAACGAGGTAATGTGGTTTATGCATGCAATGTCGTGACATATTTTCTGGGAATCTATGGGCACGCAGGCATTTTTTTACATGTTTCGTATTTTCGAAAGACTTGGAGGTGCTGGCAATTTTACCGAATTAATAAAAAAAAATATTTTTTTCTTGGCCAACCTTGTTTTGACACGCGAAGTATTTTGCTGTTTTGATCTGTCTGCATGTAGACCCTTGGCTACAAAGCAGCAAGGCGATCGTTGGGATAGCACCGGACATAACTGTGTGCTCCTTGTTTATATTTTTTTACATATCCTCAAATGCGACTGTTTGTGGCAGTTACAGCGTTACAGAGGCTTGCCAACACAAATTGAGGAGGGCTTGAGACAGTTGAGGCCCATAACCTCTGGGATGGTGTGCAATGTAATGTGCACCGTCCCGGACGTCAGGGGACAAGGAGATAGGTACAAAGAGGGCAGTCCTGGAGGCTAACAGGACAATCCGGAGACTGAGCTTTAAGAACGGATATGAAGTTACGAATGTGAACAGGGAGATATATCAGGATAGACCGATTCCGCTCCTTCTGCCGAGGCGGCAGCCACTATGGGGAACTCACAGGGATGCGGATGAGGCGGAGGATGGGCTCTTGGGCAAAGGCTTTTTTAAAGGCCGACAGAGGCCTCGGGCAGCTGGGGGTTCTAATGCGAATAGAAAGGTTGGGACGAAGCAACTTTCCGGCGTGAAAAAAGCGCCGAAAGTTGCCGGCGCTTGCCGGAGAACAGCCACCCGAACACCGCGCGTTTGGCTGATCCTGACCACGCGAACGCTTTTGCCGGACATTGACCACTTGAATTCACCATTAACTTCATAGTAATAGTTATAAAATATTATGAAACCAACTTTTTTAATAAAAACAATTCTACCTCTTTCATAAGGACATCGGGGAAAATGTCCTATCTGTTATGCTAGGCACACGTATGCAGACACAAATCGAAATGTTCTTAAACGTATAGTATTCGCAAGTTCCAGCATTAGTCGGTATCGTGGAAAGTGAGTCGAATCCGCTCTCTTCTGATCATTGCCCTGCTAGAGACGTGAATCATTTCAAGCAGCACCAACTGTGATGCTGCTATCGAAGGGTTCATGCCTATAAATGCGTAAGAAATGTCCTCCCGCAAAGATAGAAAAGGATTTCGATGCGGATTGATGAAGTCTCGTCTCAGCCTGCGACGAGCGCACAAGTGTTCTTCAAGCTCTCTGTATTCTGCGCCCGAAATTTGATTCCAGCTTCTGACAGATTATATGCGTCGCGCTTCGGCCACCGCTCCGGCCAGGCGCGCTTCGTACGAAATCAGACTCTGCCAACCTAGTCGAAACCATGTCGCCTGCGAACTCGCACGATTCTGCTGAACCAGACGATCACACCATAAATTCCTCTGGAAAGATTATCGGACACACGACTGCCAAACCTGACATGAGTAAAAGGACGTAAAGCCAGCAATAATGGGCAGACTCCCTCATACGATGTCATGAACTCAAAATGGATGTTTTGCGCAAGGTATCGTTAGTGACGTCCCCATTTGTTAACACTGGCAGAGAAGGGAGAAAAAAAACGGCTTTACGAAGACATGCAAAAGCACCTGATTGAAGAGGCATTCAACACAATGCATCATGCAATTGCTTTCCAATGAACACGCTAGTGCGTACAATCAAACGCTTCATAAAGCAGCTCAGCTAACTGCGTAAAAATGCAAAAATGAGCACCAAGACCGTTTTACCAAGACTGTTTTACTAGGCATCAGCACGTACGTGCGCAGTATGCTAAATGAAACAACGTTGCAGAAATGTTGTGGTTCATGATTTATTCAACAATCGCGAAGTTTGTTACGAACCACTGGCACAGATAGTTGTTGCTCAGTAACTACATACTAGCAGCAAAACCACAAAAAATATCTTCACATATTACAGAATGTGCACTTGGACTTTGAAAACGCAAAATAAAGCCTATTTAGCCTACCTTTGTTGTCAGACCTAATCTTCAAAGTCTACACGAAACCACGTGTCAAGACCGTTTTGAAGTAGCCCGATCCCTTCCCGTCAACGTTTTCGATCACTGCTACCGTATGCTCGTAGGCTCCGCTGAGGATCATCCACCCGTCGAACACGCACACACGCTGACACCGTGCAGGAGACATTCTCCAGTGCCGAGACGGTGCGAAGCCTCAAGCCAGGCGAAGCGAGCAGCGTCGTTCGGCGGATCCGGCGACGAGCGGACGCAGGTCGAGCGCCGTCGATCCCAGTTGAGCTTCCGAGCTTCCCGTGGCTTTCGGCTTCGTAATTCGATGCGGCAGCGGCGCGGTGGATCAGCAGATCACGGTACCTCTGTTTATCGAACTAGCATCGTGTTATGTGCCGTTTCTCGTTCATTATAAACCTCCCTCGCCTATTGTTCGTACTTGCTCGAGTGAAATTATTCATCCTTATTGTACTTCAGTAAATAGTTGCCTGAGCGGCGACACCGTAGCTGGAACTTGCGAATACAAGCCTCAATGGAAAATGCATTTATAAAATTAGTTTGGTGGTAATTGTTGCGCTCACCTGTTTTTAGCGGATAACTCGGGCGAATGAGATGGCAGCCCCCGTGGGTTCCTGAAGGAGTAAAATATTTACATTTAAAAACAAATTTAAACTGACCTAACAATAGATCACACGAAACTTTTCAAGCGCGGTACAACCGGCAGCTAACGTCTTCAGGTTCGGTTCAGGGAGAAATAGCACGCGGCCCGTACGCAGATTGGCTGCCGCTGACAACCCATTTCCGCCGCCGAGCTTGCCGAACCCTTGGCGGCAGTGATGTCCATCCCCCGCACCGCACCGCACTGCACTGCACCGCACCGCACCGCACCACCACACCTCCGCATTTACTTGACAGTTCCGAGAGAGCCCGAATTGAGTTGCGAGGTGTGACAGCTTGTACGACAAAGAACCGCCGCGTACCAAGCTCCGCTTTCTAAAACGTGTTCTTTTGCTAAACAACTTTCGATAACATGGCGCTCAATCAGACGCAGTTAACACGCTGCAGCGTGCGCTACCCGCACGCCTTCCTCAGTGCCGGTGTTGTTCAACGGTATCTGGCGCAACACCGCAACACTTCCAAGCATGTTTAAAACGGGCGCCTGTAACGGAAAAAAACTGTGAGTGCGCAGGCGAGCTGGTGGATGTTGATCAGAATGCAGAAAACCCGAGACTGTGGTAAAAGCAGGGAAACGGTGTCGAAGAAGAAAGACTTCCTTCTTCGACACCGTTTGCGAAGACCGAAAGTCTTTCTTCTTCGACACCGCTTCCCTGCTTTGGCCTGTAACGGGCTCGCGAACACTTCGTATTTGGTTCAACATACGGCGTGGTCGCTTTTGCACACCTAGCTTGCGCGGAGTATGGAGATAAAAAAAAAAGATAAAAAAAAAAAACACTCACCTCGTAATGAACGGATCCTCGTCCAAACAAAGACGCCAGGAAAAAACTGGCGAACCCACGAAGATTTCGCCGCTTTGCAGCCTCCTTCGCGTGGCTGGCGTGGCGGCGAGGCCGGCGAGGCCAGCGGGG